TTCTCCTCCTCTTTATTTAAAACTCACTTCCTTTCACATAAAAAAGGCATCATATAATTTACGATAGTTACTCTTAATCAATCTTCTGATTTAAAAATTTCATTTAAATTCCTCATTCGATTGCAAGTTTGCATTTCGAGAGCTGAGGAACAACTGCCTACCTAACTGACAATTTCGCCGCATTCGGTAGTATAAAATACGCAAGCTGATAATTTTAATTTTTCCCCCAGTTCTGTAGGGAAGCGCTGCAATGACGCTGTAAAATATAAAAAAATTGCAAATCTGACTTCAAAATTACAAAAATGGTGAACTTTTCTCTTTGTTCTACAAAATTCTCAGTTTGTCGATAGGTGGCATCGTTCCCTAGCCGTCAATTTGCTTCATGTCACGTGCATTTTCATAAGCTCGCGACTAATGTAAATTAAATGATAATATTTATAGTTAGCATGTTAATTTCTATTAGCATCATAAATAACGAAGCGTTCTTTCAACTCAAAACATCGCGAAGAACAATGGAAGAATATATAAAGTTGGGTTCAAACCCAACATGCAACTATTTTAACTCCACGGTAGGCCGGGTTGCATACGCTAGATTTGGCGGGCGAAATATGAGTGCTGCACATGGCCTACGCGCGCTGGTCCCCCCAGTCTCCCTTTTTTCAAAAAGACGCACGTTTCTCCTGACTCCTCCCTCCCACATTAAAAAGACCCTCTTACGCAGGGATGAACTAAGTCACATCAATCATTGCCAGATTGCACCGAACACCTCACTTTTTTACAGGAGAACGGTTCCAATCAACCTTCTGAAAGTTAAAAGATTTCATCTCACAACACAATCGCCTGAAATGTTCAAAAGAATCTACACTTCCGTTCTTTCGTAATTAAAATGAATTATCCGATGAAATTTGGCAATGGCTGCTGGTTCCTTGCAATACGTATAACTGTAACAAACCGGCCAAGTTACATAAAAATTGAGCAATGGGCGCATTTCCGTGGATAGACTGACTAATTTTAAAACAGTAATAAATTTGAAGAGCTATCACGTCACTTGGGTTTCTACTTATACATTTAGTTCAAAAAAATTTATAAAACCTATATTTGACGTATAATATTACCTCCCTGTAAGTACAGCGGTGATATTGCGGAAAGAATTAACCATCACACTGGTAGACAAGCCAGAGATAGTCTAAAAGCCAACATTTTAACAAGGAGTTGTCACTATATTGATATAATTTTAATGAGAGACTTCTTTTTATTTTTTTTAAATTAAAAGAAACAATGGATCCTAATCATTGTTGTGACATATTAGTTGCCTGTACTCCAGGTTCAACTTGCGAACCAGACCAAACGAAAAGGCAAGATAAAGATGGAGGGGAGGGGAAAAAACAGAAATGAGTTGATCAGTCTTACAATTAGTAAAACTTTATGCATATCCTAACACGCTTTTGAATGGGAAGGTCATGATTTAGTTTGATGCTTTTAATGTATAGGCACCACACACAAAAGGGCGCAAATTCAGACTGACAAAACAAAAGTAAATAAACAGAGCCGACTCATCAAGGTAAGTAAAATTCATTTCCCTCCTTTTTCTAATCTCATTTTATTTTAACTATTCAAGGAATTATTTGTCGAAAAATATTTAAATTACTGTTTTTAAATTATTCGATGTGAAGAATACTTTCTTTCTTTTTTTTGACCGACTGACTAAGTCAAGTGGAGATCCCCACAGTATTCCCTCGAGACAGGTTTGCCACTTTAATGCAGGAGAAGAAAACGAGGACTTTCACAGTGGCGTGCTTTGCGACATATCGATTGTTATGCCATTTAAATCTATGGAAAAGGATCGATGAACAGGGTGTTCGCAGCGAACATCTTTCAATCATCGATCGATTTTTAAATCGATTTTTTACCATAGGTTTAAATGGCAGAACAATCGATAGATCGCAATCCACGCAACGCCACTGGACCTTCATCAAAGAGGACAAAAATACATTTTAAACAGACATTAAACACTTAATCCAAAACTTTGTCACTGAATTCTTCAATTGTTATGTTGGGATCAATAACGCACGGAAAATTCGAGACGAAAAGAATATTGAAAATTGAAAAAACCTCCAGCAAAGACTCTTTATTCGATAGGTGTTAGGGTTTGGGAATAGTTAAAATTTCAAAAATCACTTACCACTGTTGGTTAATGTAGCAAGCGTCATATTGCATCATGATATTAAAGGAAACTGATGTCAAAAACTAGGCCGAGCACAAGTCCAACATCGTCCTGCAAAGTAATTCCTGAGGCGCGATTGATCACTTTGAATACATCTCGACGACACCGAGATAAATCGATCGCAGTAAATTGGTGTAGGAACGAAAAACCGATCGAAAAATGTTCTTCACAAGTGTCCATACAGTTCGAGGCGAGATATTGATTACGGCACTTCATATCGAACCTTTCAAATCAGATCGGCACTGCTGAAAACGAACACAATCTAGTAATATGCGCGACTCGGGAGTAAAACGCAAGTCTTAATCGAGTAGATAACCGTCAGTATCGGTCGGTATCTTGGATCGATGAGGTGATGCTGACTGGTAATCAGAAAGAAGACTGATCTGATGGTAACAACAAGCCTTTACTCAAAGGCTCGGTTTGACGTAATACTTGGAGTGGGGAGGCTTGTGCGAGAGCGACTGAAAATTCCACTTGGGCGAAATTCCCGCCAACGCGCATTTTGGGGACTTCCGAAACCGCGACCCGGCCGTCTAACCTCTAACCCGTGACCTGCGGATTAAGACACCCGGCGCCTATCAGCTGCGGTAGCCCATATCTTCGTTTTCAAAATAATTAGAAATTGTAGTTTTGATCCTTAGTGCCTTATATTGAATATCCTTTAAAAAAACCTAAATGTAAAAAATGTTAAATTCGGCGATATGCATCAAACATTTTTAGACAATTTTACTAAAAAAATTTAGTGTTGATGGGTGATTTTGACTCCTACTTTGAAGTAAGGAGCTAAATTATTCGAAATACTTTGAGTGCCCTGTCAATAAACTCATTAGAGCGTCTAACATAGGAAACAGTTGAGGACTTTTTTCGTAAAAGGGCGCATAAGGCTTGCAAAGCTGCTAAAGATTGTGCAATTTTTTACAGCATTTGCGGCAGATTAAATTCATTCACTGTCGACTTACTTCCTTATAATAGTGAGAAAAAATTCGAAGGAGATTCAGGGGAAAATGCATAGTAGAACTGTCTGATAAGTTACTTACAACTAGAAAACTACGTTGCAAAATCTTAGTAGCATTGGAAGTCTTATGCGCCCTTTTACCGAAAAATGCCTAACTTATTGATGATTTTCACTCGATAAAATGTTTGATAAGCTTACTTCCAGTTTTGAGGTACACACCTTACGCTATGAGATACAAAATATTTCGATTTTGACCACACGGAGAAAAGCAAATTTTTGCATAAGAGTCAAAGTTCAGGCCATATGAATCACTGAAGTTTTCGGATTGTGCATCCGACAACTTGAGGTACAGGTGCCAATGTTCGGGTCTACTACTTCAATTCATACTTCAATGGAGTCAACCGAGGTAATTCAGATGTGCGACTCGAAATTCGGCAGCTAGACCTCAAGTTTTTGGACGCACCAATCATAAAAACCTCAGAGAACCTTATGACTTTAACTCCGGGTCCCACGCACGAAGCTTTTTTCTCCGTATGACCAACCGAGATGTCCCATATGATACGCCACGAAAAGTGTTCGAAATAAATTCGCTGCCCGCCATCAAACAGAAAATTGAAATTGTTGAAGTGAAAAAATGAGCAGATTTCATTTCGTCCTGACATTGAAGTGAACGTCAGGACACGATGGCTGGTAAGTTTTCTGAGGTCAGTGTACATTTTCATGAATCGCTGTAATTGAGTAATTTTCATAGAGCCTCGATAGATAATCAAATTCCAAACAAATTTCGATCAAAGTATAGACCATTTGATGACTGTTGGAAATGTAGCATTCTTTTTTTATTTAAACAGAGATGCCGCCGTTCATCATTTTTTGCCGGACGGAACAGTTCTGCCAAGTTTTAATTTGAGGATCATCCAAAGTAACGTTTTTAGGACTGATAACTCTGGACACTTGGATGGAAATTGGTTCTTGCATTTGATAGTCTATCAAAACCTATTGGGCATTAGCAGATTTTTGTAAAAGGGTCTAAAATTTTCGAGTGTGTAAACTGCTTCGTCGGGGTCAATTTGCTTCTACATCCCAGAATATTCGTACTGAAAGATATTGGAATCATCACTACAAATAAAACTGTTTTCTTGAGAGTTTTTTGTTGAGCTAAAAAAAAATTATGTTCCATCAAGGAAACGACTTGTTGTGCCAAGTAAAATTTTGATTGTGACAAAAGTTTTCTCGTTATTGCGATTTTTCAGATTTTTACAACTAAGAAAAAAAGGTAAATATACCAACAACTAACTGTGTTTTTCTTCAGCCACGAGATGACTTTTCCTACTCTCGTATAATCTTACTGAGAAAGGTTACTTCACTTGTATATGTTAAACTTCGTTCTCAGGTATTTTAGTATTACCATGCGCACTTTTGCATTAAAAGCCTTGGTCCAAATGTATTTTTTCATTAAACCGACGAGTGAAGGATTTAAATCAACATGGATGAAAAACGATGTTAGTGGCCATTAATTCCTAATCAATATTATTCTCAGGAAATATAGTGACCATTGGCAGATGTATAACAATGTTAATCGTGCATCTGATCACGTATGCCAGCCGACTGAATGACACTGTCAGAAATCTGGTACTGGCCATAAGATTTCCAGTTGATCATCATTAATTATCAAGGATCTGCTATGTCCTGCCAGTATTTTTTTCGAGTGTAGGAATTTTTAAAGTTTTATCACATGCATATTTTTCTCTATGCGAATATGAATTTTCGACCAGTGGATTGATCCATATTCTGGATGAGACGATTAAATGAAATTCACATGTAGACATTGCGATTAAAATTACTATATTCCATACAATAAATTACAAATAATACAGTTTCAGGTTCACTTAAAATTACAGTTTTTGGTATAGTTTGCAACTTCATTATAATATGTATATAGGATTTAAAATTTATATCACAAGGAAAGATTTCTACATGACTATGATACATAAATCAAAATAGATGAGGGAACTTATCCTCTCTAAGAAAGTATTTAATTTGATATTTCATGCTCATGACGAGCAAAATTTGCTCATCACCGTTGGCAAGGGACCAATAGTTCAGTGCATTTTGACCCTCGCACTCTTTTGAAACTGCTTCAATATCGTTAAAGTACTCTTGCTTCCTTTGAGTCCGTATACAAACACTTTACTTATTGAATATTTGATTTGAATGAAACCTAATTTTTCTCTAAAACACTTAATTTTTCCTCAGGATACAAAGACACGATAAATTTTGAACGTAAAATAATTGGAGCAATTACTGACGCCTCTGATAAATTGAAGAGGGATTTTTACTGTTCTTAATAGGAAACGTGTAAAACTGTTTTCGATTAGAAATCACAACTGTTTTTTTTTTCTATGTATGATTGATTTTTTGTGAAAAAAGTCTAAATTTTGCATCCAATGTAAACCCAACACCTGACCAACCATCAGCTATTAATTCTTCATCTTCATTAAAAACAAATTGGACGAGAGAAGCAGAATTATGACGTTTCGTTACTCCTCTGACGTAAGGGGTTATCTCAGTTTTAACGCGAGCCCTGATCCTCGTAAAACTATATGCTTGATGGAGCTCATATGGAAAAAGAGATACATCCTTGCGTTTCAGGAACGACGGTTTGCGACGATAATAATAATTAAATATGAATAATTACATTTTTAACATGGCAAAATAATTTTCTGAGTATACTAATCATTAAAAATTCCTGATCTGGAATTAACTTTGCTTCCTCTGCACTTGATTCACAATTCAAGTTCAAGTTGATTTAAACTAAAAATAATGCAGTTATTGCATCGTATTCCTTTTTTTATTTGGTTTACTCACAAGTAAAATCATACGTCAATATTTCAGCGTGCTTCTTTACAGACCCTATCTCAGAAAATTCATTTAATCTTTCATTGTTCCTCGCTTATGAACATCAACAAAAACCATTAGGGATAATAAGGACGACAAAGGTAAGAAAAGGGCACTGCCTTACTAATGAATATTTTGTCTCGCATATTTTTCACCTGAGTAGCGAATGAATGAAAAAATACAAATGCTAGTTAAAGGATATGAATTTGCATAAATCGATAAAAGGCTGATTCCGTTCATTAAAAAATAGATGGCTGAATCAGAAAATGAGTGTTGTAAACACCGTGATACTGTCCTTTCAAATCAAGAATAATCCCTTCGAAATTTTACTTAAAAGTATTGACCAATACAATTCTTAGGGTGAATTTTAAAACATCAAATCGGGTCGTATTTCTCATTAAAAACCAAAACCTTTCACTTTAATGGCATTGAGCCGGATAAATATTGATAAAGAATGAATTAATTGACAGTTATACAAATGTAAGTTATCGATTATGTTTCCTTTTTGAATACATCATCTTGCATTAGATAGAGGCTCAATTTTTTTTAGAAATGAACATGCGGCCTGAGAGAATCTTTAGTTACTTTATTGCAATTAATTTACCTCCCAGCTCATGAGATGACGAAACAATGGACTTTCCTTTCCAAAGTGCAAAATGGATTGTTCTAGATTAACCTTTGGTACGAAGTCAGTGGAATAAAAACTATAATCTTACGTCAGGGGTATCAAAGTAGTCTAATTTTAGAGATGGGGATACTTGTTGAAAGATCGCAAAATGCGCTCAGAGGGGATCCCCCAAAATTTTCAAATTTGCCTTAACATCGACCAAAATTACTCCCCGAAAATTAAAAAATTCAAATGTCCAATCCTCGCCTCTCTATTTTCCCCGATGGATCTTCTGCAACCTTTTGAAGGAGGAAATGTTTCCTCAGAAAAATATCTTTAAAAAACGCATCGGTTGGAGGGTCTGAAATATTCTCCTGATTTTAAAATCTGCATGTAAATTTTGTGTATTTCAGAGCTTCTCACTCCAAAAAGTATAAAACGGGAAAGGCATACTTTTATAAAGATGAGCAACCCAGATTCCATAACTCCACGTTAAGCTATAAAAATGACCTTCATCATGTGTCACAGTTTTGAAACAACCAAGGAGCATACGCCATTTTTAGCCGACATCCTCTTTTCTCTGTGTTTCAAATTAGGCTGCAGAAGAAAGAGGTCCTTGTTTAGTTTCTCCTTATGCAAGGAACTATCTCATATGACGACGACGACCATTTCTAGTTTTGTGTATGGAGATGTAAAATCAAGTTAATTCATCAGTTTCAAGTTGTCTTTGTCGTAGTGCACTTTTTGAAGTGTAAGCTGAAATGGACGTATTTCTGCCAAACGGAGCTAAGTGCATTTAGGCATGAGCCCTGAGACCCATACGAATATATGCATAACAGGGCTCACGTCATTATGCACATAGATCCATTCGGTAGAAATACATATATGTCCAAATCTGCGCAAGTTTTTGCGCAGATTATGGAAGTAAGCGTGTACTTTTCACATTCTCCAATGCGTCCATCGTCAGTTTTAAGGCATTTTCCTCAAGAAACAATTTTAATTTTTTTTCTCCGGCAAAAATGTATGATGACACCTCTGACGTACGTAAGAAATGAATGAACAATGGTTCTCAAACAAGAGATTTTAGGTGGGGCTATGCGGAGATGAATCCTGCGTGTCTCTCAGACTGTCAGGTGACGAAACAGGCGACCTGCTCTCGGATTTGACGGGAATGCTATACGGGGAGAAGCGATGTTGCTTGAGCGCCGAAGGGGGAGGCAAAGGGGGTGAAAAGGACGAAGAAGACGAGGAAGTTGAGGCCATGGCCAACTGATGCTGGGCCGCGATGAGGGAGGGCGCTATGTAGGCCCACTGGTTCCAGAATGGGACGCTGTTGTTGCCGGCGGCCCAAAGGGGCCCCAGGGCCGCGTAAGGGCCCGAGGACGCTGCTGCCCGGAAGTAAATTTGTTGCCTAGCTAACAGGACCGCCCTGTCCTCCATCGTTAGGTTGTTACTCTCGAACAGCGGCGAGCGGAGCAAGTTCTGCTCGTTCAGCATCGATTCCATTGTCTCTCTGAAACAAAAAAATGGGGGAAATTAGTGATCATAGATTCAGAAGAAAGTGCATTGGCAGATCCAGCAAATCGGCAACATTGTTTTTCTCCATTTAAACCAATGGAAGTGTATCGATTCTTGAAGGGGCCCGGGACTTCAACAAGAGTCGATTATACATAGGTTTGAATGGAGGAAACCCGGTGCTGCCAAATTGCTGGATCAGCTTCTGGGAAAGTAGAGAGACATCAAGAAGTGAGTAAAGCCAGTGTCCCACTATCAAATGAACTCATCAAATGCAAGATGGCGGAGATGCGTGCTGGTTTTCGCACAAGTTCGCTGTCAAAAGTTGTCAAAAGGCCGTCAAATTTGGATGAACTCCGCCATCCGGCTATCGTCTATTTGATGAGTTCATTTGATAATGAGGACACAGACTTATCGCTCTAGGGAGGAGGATGGTCTGAGCCTGCGTTACAAGTGCGTTACATGGTGGGGAAAGAGCCCAGGGTTGCGCTGGATAGCAGCTGATTTTTTGGAAATTTAAGATGAAAAATCGACACGAGAAGGGATTTTTTCGTTCAAAGATCATAAGAAAACGCGATTTTGAGGCGAAAGGTCGAAAAGAGCTTCCCGTAATTTTTTTAGGAGGTGTGCAGACCTCCAAGTGTATGCGGGTTCTGGTAAGTATAGTAATGCGTAAATTATCTTAGATGTGCGTGTTGCTTATTCAAAAATTGGAGGCGTTTCTACCCAACGAAGACTAGACTAAATGACTGTAGCGCATTGATGCAACTATTCGTGTTCCATGGATGTGCGTGTTGCGTGTTTAAAATTGAAGGCGCTTTCGTATTTCTCACTTCTTCAGAGATGCACGGGACTAATCAAACGGGGACGGCCAGTTCGCGGACGCACAGTGGATCGAGTCAACAGGAGAGGTCGGACAAAATGTAGAAACTTTAAAAGCTCATAACTGCGTTAACACAAAATTATAGGTTATGCAAGTTCCAATGGTTTCCTCGTGAAATTTTCCTCTTGTGATCCCCTCAAAATTTAAAATGTGTCGAAATGAAAATAAAAAATTGCAATTTTAGTCCAAAATTGTATGTCTCTGATTGAATCGATCCACTGTGGGAAGGACCAAAAATTTTGCTCAGTCCATGGACAGGGAAAAAAATTTATTTAGTCCACGGACTGGGCAATTTTGACAACAGAGCATAACATTAATCAGCATTATTTGGCAAATTTCATTCGAAAAATTGATTATCAATCTTTATTAGGCGAAAAATGTCTCTGACGCGACCGACCTGATTTTTCGCCCTACCTGATCAATTTGGCCAGATTTTTGGTTCCGAATCCTTGAAGTAAATAATCTCTGCTACCGCTGCACTATTGCCGAAAACGGGGCTTGAAAAACTCCCCATTTTGAGTGGCTCTTCATCACTTTCAGAATTAAATTTAAATTATCTCGTCAAATTGTTATAATGACTATAATTTTAGTATCGTGTATGCGCGCAATAAGATGTAGTGAATTTCCTTGAAAATCCCATCAAACAGCTGCGACACGATGAAGACATGATCAAATGCGAAGGTGTTGTATGCCTCCGACCATCGCGATTATAAGCAACGAAGGCAAACTTTGACAGTCAAAATGGTCTTCAATCAACGAACTGCATTTTCAAGGTAGAAAACTTTAGGTCGGCGTTGTCATATTTCTGAAAATAATTGTTGCAAAATGTTCAAATCCGCTACCCATAATAGATCGGTAGAAACTACAACATGCCGGATTCCTCGGATGAAAATCGATGGTTGTTCATTGTCAGCACTCCCTTCTCTCTTTGATAACGTATCAATAGGAACAGTGCAAGCAGAGACAACAAATTTTATAGACTCCTCACTGCTATTTTCTCAAGTATGTAAAAGTTCCAGTGGCGAGGCATACTTTGCGATATATTGACTGATCTGCCTAAACCTATAGAAGAGGCTAGATAAACAGGATGTTCCCAATAAACACCCTGATAATCGAGTCTCTTCCGCAGTTTCAAATGGAAAAATGTCGAAAATCGATCATTCACGCCTAGCCACTAAAAAGTTCCTCTCGATAGCCAACTCTCAGATACCGTTAATGACTGACCACCAAAAAGTTGAGCTTTCGGTTTAGCAATTCGAATCTAAATTGAAAAATAAAACTCGCCTAACAGAGTACTCTCTCCGACATTTGGACATTTTGCAATTGGGATCTAACATTTCTAGCTCAGTTTAGAAAAATGTATGTATGTATGTGCCGCTTTTATAGCGCTCTTTGGCACTCTGTGACCCCTAGCCGCCAAAGTCCCCTATCCTCCCAAAGCCCTTCAGGGAGTTGGCAAACCCTCATTTCTTCTAAAACCCCCTGTCGCCACCCTTTCACTGGGCGTCCCCTTTGTCTCCTCCTAGGAGGAACCCAATCAAGCAACTTCTTTGGCAGCCTTTTGTCCGTCATTCTATTGACATGACCATACCAGACAAGCCAGACAACGTATGTGCCATTATTTTTCCCACGTACATTAGTGTTTTTCAACTTGAGCTAGAAATTGTAGTTCCTACTTGCGAAATGAAATCCATTTATCATTCATTAGTAGGCAAAAATTTAATTCTTAGCTCGACAAGTTGCTCTTCAGCCATCTTAAGGTGGTAAATAGAATTGAATCCAGCGGCGAGGGGACTATCGATTCCGTTCGACTATCGATATTTCCCCATTTGAAGCTATGGTGAAGAGTCAATCATTAGGGTGTTCGTTACAACCACCCTGTTTATCGGTTCTTTACCATAGGTTGAAATGACAGATCAATCGATGTATCGCAAATCACGCTACGCCACAGGTTGAATCCAAAATTTAACTTTTGCCTCACTCGACTTCATCAAATTTTTAGAACGGGGTCTCTAAAAATACTCTCTGAGTGTGAGTTTCAAATCGTGCGAGGAAAATGGGACTAGTTTCAGCACCATTTGACAACGCTGGAGGAAATGCACACGTGCAATTTCGTGCAACTCGCGAGCTTCATCGCTCACCTGTCAACGCGCGCCTGCACCTCGTGTTTCACTCGCTCAGAGTTCTCATCGTCTATTTTTTTCTTTCCCTTGCATTTTCTTAAAACACCTGAAAGTTATGTTTTCCCGAGAAGTTTAGACTTGTATGGCAGCTCTAATGCTCTGTATTACGGTGAAACTGAAATACGAAGGAAACTTGGTCTGTATAGCTTTATTACTGGGTGACATTTTGAAGAAAATTATTAACTTTCCTCCTACCCTTCCTCCTTGGTGGATCCAGCAATTTGGCAACACCGGATTTCCTCCATTTAAAACCTATGGAAATGTATCGATTCTTGGAGAGGCCAGGTGCTCCGACAAGAATCGATTATTTAGCATAGGTTTAAATGGAGGAAATCTGGTGTTGCCGAATTGCTGGATCCGCCTCCACCCTTCCTGAATGAATTGAAGTTCAGATGGCGATGATTTTGGTAAGGAAATCAATAGTTATTCTAGCATTCGCTCAGAATAAGTCAGAGCGTCGCGTTACATAGCCGTATGGGGAAGTACAAACAAGCGGAAAATACCCCGTTCAATTAAGAGCGGTGCATTCCCATGTACTTTCGGAACGATATCATCTTGGAGGCAAAAGTGTTTTCCCCGTGTATTTACCCGTTAGTTTTACATCTCCGCATCGCTAAAATTACTGCCGTTGGAGTTAATTCAGCATTTTGTAAGTTCTCGCACACTTTTTTTTACATCCAGAGTGTTAAATCAACTTCACTTTTTTTTCAGTGCATCCTCCAAAGTATGGGAATCGTCAGGTGAAAAACGACGGATCCGCCGGGGATTTCGCGAAGCCGCGGCTTTTCTCGTCTTCAAGAGGGACCGGAAGGTGGGTTTAATGGAACAATGGCATTCCTGGCGGCGCGGAGAGGAAAGACAGAGCAGAACAATCAGATTGACATCAAACATCGACAGGAAACAGAGGCAAAGAGTGGAAAAATGCAGGCTCCCGCACGAGTCCGAGCCGGACAGGAACAGCCGGAACGGATCGCTCGCGCCCGTCTTGGTCGTGGCTACTAATTAAAATGGCATTAGTAAATAAGGCGCTGAGTCCTCCTCTCCGGCTCCTCTCAACTCTGACAAACCGCACACCTATTCCGTTGTCCTAGTGTAAAACGACGTATTAACATTTGAGAGTTGCCAAATTATTCCGGAGGAAAGCTACACGGAGAAAAAACTTCGTGCGTGGGACCCAAAGTTTAGGTTATATGTATTTCTGAAGTTTTCGGATTGAGCATTCGAACACATAAGGTCCAGCTGCTGAGGTTTGGATCACACATCTGAAACTTCAGATCTTACATCTAAAGTACTTCGGTTTTCACATCCGAACATCTTCGGTTCTCACATCCGAACACCTGCGGTTCTCACATCCGAAAAACTTCGGTTCTCACATCTGAAGTACTTCAGATGTAAGAACTGAAGTTTCGGATGTGTGATCCGAACCTCGACAGCAAGACCTAAAGTGTTCAGATGCTCAATCTAAAAACTTCAGAGATCCATACGACCTAAACTTCGGGTCCCACGCACGAGGTTTTTTTCTCCGTGTATGCATATTTTTTCTTGAAGTTTTCACATGCACGGAGAAAAAAACTTCGTGCATGAGATCCGAAGTTGAGGTCATATGGATCTCTGAAGTTTTTGGATCACGCATCCAAAAACTTGAGGTCAAACCGCCGCAGTTCGGGTCAGACATCTGAAGTACTTACGTATGTACCGGATACTTCAGATGGGTGACCCGAACCCTTCGGTATGTACCTAAGTACTTCGGGTGTCTGACCCGAACTTCGACAGCTGGACCTCAAGTTTTCGGATGCGTGATCAAAAAACTTCAGAGATCCATATTATGACCTCAACTTCGAGTTCCATGCACGAAGTTTTTTTTCCGTGTATTGTAGATTAAATTGCAAAAAAATTGTCTGAAAAATGTACAGAAAAATGTCCACAATTTTCCCAGTTATTTCTTATTTTACTAAAGGAAATAGGGCAACGTCCGAGGGCTCATACGGCATTCTTCCTCAGCACAGTAGTATTCTCCTGTGCTCCGGAAAAACGACGTATTAATCAGAGTTGAGAAATTTTCTTGGATAAAACATGGATATTCTAGGAATTTAAGAAGGCAGAATATTCATGAATTGAGAATCTCCAAGAAAAAATTGAATTGTTTCATCCGAAGGTGCTTCATGAGCTGAGTTCTCAATTTTTCATGACTTTTTTTTTCTGAAATGGGAAATTGCAGGAAAATAGATTTAAAAGCTCGAAAATGTGCCGCTTTTCAACGTCATCTTGCGGCATTTTCAATATTAATACATGATGTATTCTGACGGAATAGGTTATTTTATCTTATTTACGCTAAAAATTGTTCAATTTAAAAACCAAGGGTATCCTCGTACTTAGTTCACTTAGCAGTTTGCCAAATTTCAGACACCTGCGAATTCTCCAGTAAATGAAAAATGAGCGTGTTGTCGGAGGAAATTCGGCAACTCCTTAGTGTTCATACGGCATTCTTTCTCAGCGGGGCAATATTCTTCAACAGGCGATTAATGATAAAACGAACCGTTACACTGCGCGAGAAACAGCGATGTAAAGATGAAAAAAAAAGACATGAACATTTAAGAGGTAGGATTGGAGACACAGTGAGGAACAATAAAGGAAATGGCAAAATATCCTGCGGAAGAAAAATGACGCTCACCACGTATAGGAGATACTAAAACAGAGAAGGGAGGAGTGTAAATGAATGGCCGGGAAAAAAAAGAACACCAAAAACACTGTTAGGTTGCGCCACCTCACAGCAACTAATTAAATAGTTTACTTTGGATCATCCATCCCTTTTTTTTATTCAATTTTTCCCTCGCGGATCAAAAGAGAACTTGAACACTTGGTGGATAAAATTCCTGTAATAGATTTCTAATACTGCCCTTATCATGACTATAGTAAACGTAACGAGATGCTGACAGATATCTAGTGGACCATACTGCCGTGATAAGGAAGAACGCCGTATGAGCATTCGAGGGTTGCCAAATTTCCCTCGATAAATCATTCCTTTTTGAGGAAAATCATGAATATTTTTCCTTAAAATTTTCGAGAATTTCAGGTGAAATTGCGAACAAAATTATCTGAAGAATTGGAGAAAAATTATTTAAAAATTTTCCCTGAAAATTCATGATTTATCAAAGGAAATCTGGCAACGCCAGAAGGTTCATACGGCGTTTTTCCTCAGCACGGCAGTATATACCTAAGTGCAAAGGAGCTGGCCAATAGATAATGTTTCCGCCTGATTTAATTGAAGCAGTAAACGTAAAATAGGAAACTGTAGGTTACCTTTCAAATTCAGTCAGTCTTGAAGAGTCTCTAAAACCTTTGGCGAATGGATTGCAGTCAATTTTCAACTTTGTGATCTGAAACAACGAAAACATGAGAGCTGTAATGAATCAGTCGTGGTAAATTTTTGATCAAAACGAGTAAGCATCTTGCGGGTGTAAGATACGGTCGCGTGAAGGTGTCGCCACACGTGCTGAGAGAGACCATCGCGCCTTCGATTCCTTAAGTATGCAACATGGATGACTGTCAAGCACGTATAGTTGCATTCAGTGGTCGGAGTGTTAAATAAATAAAATCCGTGTTTTCAGCCACGCTACTGGCTGATTTTCCTGAAACCACCTCTCTCGAAACATAGAAAATATGCTCTTTTCTTGTTTTCCCCATTTTTCTGTATAGAGTTTTTAAATCTGACCACTGGAGACATCCCACTAAAATTTCATGTGACAATCATTTGCTAAGGTACAGAATAAAATATACGAATATATCAATCAACATGTATTTTTCATTCTCAAATCTCGGCTACTATCGAGTATGTCTCAGGTTTTTTCGACATTTTTTCCACTTATTTCTCCGACCGATAATGGCTCAATTCTGAGCCGAAACGTCTCGGTGTTCTAATGTGTATTTTTAGCTACGTTGCCCGTTCTTTCTCCCTTGTTTTACACGAAACAATTGTCACGGGCTTCTGTGCAAAAATTCGTAATAAAGTATTTTTTAAATTTGCTACGAATATTCATGGATGAATGAAAAAAATCACAGACAATGCTCGATAGAACTAATATCATTGGACGTGCTAATGCTGAAAGGAGCTACGTGCTATACAGTGCTCTTCTGAAAAAAAAAAAAAACCGTCGTCCGTTTGTAACAATATCGAATTCCTTCAGTGTCATGACACTCTTTAAAAGCCTCTAATATATTTGTAAAAGAGAGCATAAAGATCTTGTTTCCCTCAGCTCATGTATACAGAAGGCTCTGAATGAGTGTCTTGACTTTACTAAGTAAATCACCAATCATAATTTGAATCTGCGTATGAATATATTCAGCCACCTATACCGAGGCATTTGACAAAATGTTTAATCTGACTATTGCATGCGTCATGTGCATAGAATCTGAATCCTATTCGTTTCTTTTTTATCTTATTCTCGTGCACCCGGTTGCTTTCAGCATAAAAACACCCACGCTATCGTGATACTTGGATCGTTGGGAAGCTTCGAAGCTACCCTGATAGTATAATAATCCTGTTAAGTGCGCAGAGAATCTCAACCGACTCGTCTTCATTAGGCGGTTGGAAGAACATGATTCCAGCGAGAAATATTTGCATGGAAACAACATGAATATGCACACATGAAGGCCCATGTGCTCGGGAGGATATTCCTAGAATGTTCATAATCATAACGACCCTCGTTCGGCACGGACACCGTGTTGAACACGGAAAATAATTGAGGGAACCAGTAGCGAGGCATGAATGATCGATTATCGATATTTTCCCGTTTGACACTATGATAAAGAATCGATTATTAAGGAACACATTGTTTATCGATCCTTTTCCATGGGTTTCAATGGCAGATCGATCGATGTATCGCAAGGCATGCGGAAAATAATAGACGGAACTAATTAAACAAGATAATTACACATAAATGATGATGACGGCGGCTGAAAGGTCGCGCGCAAGGGTTGCATCCGAGGGACAAAGTCGCTCACGATTAACCCCTCCGTTGGATATAATTCACGTTACATCTGAATTGGACTCGTTTGTGCTAAAAGGGACTATGAGCATAGGGTCGGCGTGGAGCATAGTTCCTTTTAGCGTGAATACGTCCAATTGGAATATGCATAAGTTGGAGTGGGTGTTGCGCCTGCGTCGTGTGTACATGCGCGTGTTCATATTTTATGGTCGACCGCCACGACGACGACCTACCGCCTCTCTCGGAGACATCTGGTGGACACGGGGCTCGTAAATCCTCTCACCGATCAATTGGACGGGTATGAGGTGCGTGAAACCCGTGTTGTTTCTTCGTAATAACACGTGGTTCCTCGGTGAGCGCCTCCTGGATTGTTGTGTTGTCGGAGTAACTATATGTGTGTCATACGCCTAATTATTGGCGATAAGTCATTTTTAATGATTTTTAGATTTTTTAATATTTATATGATCTCTTGCGTTTGATACTGGATAGCCTGACGAACAAGGATAGGTCCTGATAGAAGAAGGAGAAGAAGAAGAAGAAGTCTTTTTTTTTGCTGTGAGCTTTCATTGGGGATAAGTTGGACGAAGACAAAAAAAACATTCAAAATGTGGCCCGCGAGCTGTATAAGTAACAGCGTAGTACAAAAGTGCTGGGTCCACACTATTCTGCAAGGAAATCCATCCAGAATGCAAATGTTGCATGTGTGAGGAATTTGCGATTTGACTATTGATTCTTATGTGAATGTTCGCGAGAAACACGATGGATCCACTGGTTTTCTCTGAAATCAACTCCTAAGCTCAAAAAAAGCTCTCAAGTCTAGGCCAAAATGGGAAGAGATATCCACGCTATCCTGAGAGTCCACCTCTACATCAAGACAAACTCTTCAGTTTTAGAGTCCCCAAATAAAGTGGCAGCCCTGTCAATGTATTTTGCTCCCTAACTTTGCATGGAGAGTTTTTCTTGATGTAGAGGTGGACTCTCAGGATAGCGTGATAAATCCCCTCCAGTTTGGCCTCAACTTGAGAGCTTTTTTTGAGCTTGGGAGTTGATTTCAGAGAAAACCAGTGACACCGTCGTGTCTCTAAGAATAATTACCACCAAAATAGAGATTGGCGCCTCCGTGTTTTGGAAAGTAATCAGTTCAATTGCCGTTTACGACGTTAATTGTTCATTGTAGCCAAAAGTCAAAAGAGGCAATCTTCGAGTATTTTTATCGGAATCCACATTCCTATATCGTATCATTCCCGATTCGAACAGATGATTCTTCGATCTTAGAATCTCGATTCCCTTGACAAGCCATCAAAACCAATTTGGCCGCGATAGAATGTACACGAGCGTCTACCCGCACAATCTCTTCATTTTTCAAGAGTGGACAAATCATTTCGAAACTGGGCTGCTTCGGATATGAATCCGTGCTGAATCATTAGTGCCGACACTTGCCCCCTCCACCCCTCCCCGTCCTCAAACAACGCAACTAGCGGCGGCAATGCCGGTAATTGCTTGAATTTATTGCGTACGCGACCATTTTTTTTCCTGTCTCTCTCTCTCTTTCGCCCTCCTCCAAGTGGGAGTTACTGCGTTTCATTGTTCCCGTTTTGATTTGTTTTGAAAGGAGACGCTAACCGTGAAACGCTCGCTTACTTCATCGTCGGACGGAGGTGAGGAGAATTATCCTCGCCACCCAGAACTCAGAGAAGTGTTAAAAATGATGTTTCCCCTCCCCCCTCCCCTCCGGCCGCTCACGCGGGCACTCTCGCATTAACAATGACAAAAAAGAGGAGGTATTAGATAAAAATGACAATAATAACAGGTACGGCATTATGCAGCGCGCAGATGTACGGGGGGTTTCGTTTTCTCGAGTGAGACCAGTAGCACTTGCAGCTCGACCGCGGCCAAACATTAAAAATTAACATAGTCGTAAATTTCCCTCCGGTGCTGCTGAGGTGCACGGCAGGGCTTCCAAAGATTAATTTTTTTATCACTACATCTGTACGGTGGCAACTACGCGTTGGCTCTTCATCATCGGGCAACGTCCCCCCGCCACCCCCCTCCCCCCCGAACTCCCCACAGGAGTTGGTTTCCAGACGCGGGTAAAGCCTGCAATTATTAAGATAATTTTTGCATGAAATATCTTCCCCTTTTCAGTCCGCATACGTGCTGGCAATCGGTGGGTGCTGAGGATAACGTTTCACGCGGGCAGAGAGGCTGCCTCACACTCGCGCGGCGGGTCCGCGCATGCGCTTATAAAATGAGCATCATGATGAGCACGGCACTGAGAAAGAACGCCGTATGTAGCATGGAACGTTGCCGAATTTCCTCCGACAAAAGAGGGATTTGCCAGGAAAATTTTGGCTATTTTTCCTAGGATTTTTTATAGGGTAATCCGTGCGTTTCGCTCTCTTACGCTTACAAATTTTCGGGGGAAATATTCGTAACTTTTTTCATAAATAAATATTTTATCGGAGGAAGTCTGGATCCTTCAGAATGGACGCACGGCGTTCTTCCTTAGCTTGGCAGATAACGAGATGGGAGCCACGGAGCGAGAAGAATATAAGTTCAAATATTTTCATTGTTAACGACAGCTCACGCGGATCTGTGTGCACGAACTCTGGCCGTATCTTTGGTTTTTAACAGGTCTGCACGTCACTTTCGTGGCATTGCGTTCGTTTTGGACTCCCGGCTGATCTGGTGTGTCACTCCTCATAATGCTGGAGCAGAATTCGTCGCTTTTACGGCGAGAGGGAACAACTGCATTTCAACTTGAATCTTCGAAAACGAGGTGGTATGCCGATGGTAAAGGTGAAGTTAAAGCGGAGGCACAAGCAAGCATTGGAATATCGAAGCAAATTTCGCTAAAATGCTGGTTTTTTTCAATTTTGAGGTGAGAATTTGGTCTTCCGATGCAATGGTCCTTGATGGCTGTAGCATATTGTCTAATAGCCATGCTAGGAAAGAGCGGTACAACCAATGGTGGGACTTAAAATAATCGATTATATCGATATTCCCCGACTCGGAGCTATGGCGAACCATCGATTATTATGGTGTTCTTCGCAAACACCCTTAAAACCATAATAACCATTTCCATTATTAAATGACAGGGCAGTCACTTCTTCGCGAAAGACAACACGCCTCTGAGTAACATCCGAATTTTTTAAATAAAGTCATCTTCAAAGTCCAACTTATCTAATAAAAATAAATTAACTGACTCAATTATCACAGCGAGCCTCGTTTCATATTGATGGCGAAAATGCGAAACCATGTATCACCTTTCGCACCGTTGCAGACTTCCTAGCTATCATACTTAATCTGAGAAAGACCAGTCAACGTTATTTTCTTGAAAATTCTTTTGATTTTTCTTTTTTTTTTTTTTTGGCAGAATATTCTGTATAAAT